TTTAAGTTGACGTAGAAGGGGTTGCCGGTTTTTCTGAGACAGGGAGTACCAGTTTTTGTTTATATTTGTAACCAGCCAGTCATGACCTGGTCCCATTTTGCATGATTTGTTGGTAGATAATTGTATTGTGAACTTCAAGGAATTATTGACAGAGTTTGACGGGGCTTTTCAAAACAAAGTATTTTTTTATGATGAGTTAAAAAGAAGTCACGATCGCCGAAGTATAAATTTTATTCGTCGACGTTTCGGGTTCACGGTCGAATCCATCATTGCAAAAAACATCAAATAAAGGTTGTGGACGTAAATGGGTTACAGTAATTATAGGATGCTGTTGCTATGCTGCCGCAAAATTAGTAATATTAGCGCCCCCGAATTCATCACAGATGTTTATACTTGATGCGATGATGGCTTGGTGGCTCGCGGTCGAGTCTTTAACTGTTGCAATCTCGTCATTAGTGCTGGTTATCAGCGTGATAATCATCTGGTTATTTGACTTACCGATACTCTCATTGAAGACAGTGTTCGCTCGCATGCCTTTCTAGTGGTTTATTACCCTGCCCAGACAAAGTATCGGCACGGAGTATGGAGGGGATGGCCATGCTGTTCGTTATAAGACTGCGGGCCGGTGAACCATGACTTAAAGAGCTTACGGCGCACGCGGGTGTTACCGCACATGAGAATTTCAGCATAGTCCAACTTGTGGACGTGGATATTTTCGACCGAATGGGTCATGATTTGGAAGTTGGTGTCATTTTCCCGCCCCGCCGCTGCGCATTAGACATCCGCGTCCGGAGTACTCTTCTAGGTTCTCTGCTGTATTTGTTTTGCCGAAAACTGCACCTGATTCGGTGGTGACCTAAAAACCAATACTTGTGAAGTAAACTCTCAGTATCAACACCATCCGCCTAGTCTGCCACAAAGGCAGTTTCTTGAGAGCGCCTTATCGACGTGATCGAGTAACTATCACGCCAATAATCAGCACGAGTGGCGAAATAGTAATAAATAGCGGTTTGGCTGCGGGTTCTTCAAGCCATATTGCTTTATGTTTAACCACCTGCGATGAATACTAGAGCCGCAACTTTTGCTAAGTATGTGGTAGTATGGCAAAAGCGTCTTATAAATACGGCAGCTCTTCTAAATCCAGAACCTTCATTTGACGCCGTCTCTAATGCTGGGTTCGAATGATAATCCAAAAAGTCGGCGAATACAAATCCAATCTTGACGATCGTGTCACCTCTCCTTTCTCCTTCTTCTTCCTTTTCTTTTCAACAGCTAATTAGAAGTCACATTTTTGCATGCATTAGTACATGGGCGGTTTAGGAGGCAAGCAGCCTTATCACGATTTCTCCTCTCTTCCGAATTGCTGACTTTTTTTCAAACCCTAATAAATAAAACTATCACATTAGCCTTTATGGGCATTTTCGGCACTAAGGGGGTTGTTGATGGCGCTAATATATTTATTCATAAAAAGGGCCTGATCCTTGGAGTTGCGTAGCCCGCGAAGCCGTAATAAGTTTTCATTTTGACCCATCTGTGAAAAACCCGGTGACCTCGGTGGGATTCAAACTCACGACAGTAAGTGGGAGGCTTGGGACAGCCAACGGTCTAGACACTTGAGCTACGGAGTCCCACCGAGAGCCGTGGATTTAAGCATATTAGAGTCAAATTACCTGTCCAGCTTACTGCAACGCATTAATTCCACCAAAATCTGATGCAGTAAGCTGACCGCCCAAGCAGGACTTCGTAAATAATTAGTTTAGAATTCACCAGATGCCTACTAGGCTTACGTAATTCACAGCTAAGATGCAAGCAGACCATGACAGCCGAGTAATGAGCTGGAGCGCAGCGACATGGCATTTACAGCCCGCAAAGACCTCGACTTCCTGTTTTTCTCTACAATTCCTGCTTCTGTCTCGGGTGGTGAGCATAAACGTGAACTCGAAATTTTAGTCTAGTAAACTTCAGTTCACAGCTATGAACTCCAATCTTCTCGATTTTAACTGGACTGCTTTTTCTCGCAAATCTCATCTAAGTATGGCTAGTATCCGATTAAAGTTGTCGTAAAAATAAAGACGAAAATCACAGTCCCATTATCCCTGTTTACTTGTAACCTAAGGCATACCAATTCTTGAATGTTTGCCTTATTTGCTTCTACCATTTCGACTGAGTGCCGAACGGTGCAGTAATATTGGTAAGTTATTTGCTCAGCAGTGCCAGACGGTTGTCAGGCTAAATTGCAACCATTCCCTGAAATCAACACCTAGATAGCATCATATCCCGTGGAAATATCATCCACAGTACCACTCCAACGCCACTGCTGAATGGCAATTGCAGTACTTGTTAGAACGGTATCGGTAGAACCAATCCCCAATGTCATCCCATACTAACGAGCGCATCCACAGACTTCGAGTTTTCTGCTATACCCCGAATAACTTGGATATTGGACATTGCCTGCATAGTCTTGTGTCATGATAGTTAAACATTTTACCATATCATCACCAGCATATCCTATATACTGCTGTCTAAAAGGAGCAAGTTGCCCCTTTCTGCAGTTTTATGGCGTGGGCTGCCATCATCTAAAAAGCATAGTGAGTATGCTTTCAAAAAATCTCAGGACAGATGAGTAAACATAAGCTGAGCCCCTGTAAGCCATGGAATTCATATGGTAAACATGCCTTTGAAAGTGTCTTTTCCGAAACCTAGAAACAAATTCAGACGTCTGGCTAACGAAATCAACCAGTAAGTATGTAAACATGGCCGTCATGGAGGTGGATATATTTCAGTCTCGTTACTTTATACTTTCCTTATCAAAAGGACGCAGAAAATATGCCTGCATCTAGAGGCAATTTCCCTGTGTAATCCTATTATCCCATCCCCCGTATTCTCAATCTGGTTTCCTCAAATCCAATTTTCACAACTTGCGCTGAAAGTGAATCAGAGGTCTCTTCAGTGTCTTAGGTGAAATGTGGCACTGAATTCTACTGCTCGTAACCCCGCCATCTGTCGTGTGATCTGAATGAGTCAAGATTTTGGCAGACTTTTAAGTTTGTAATCTTAGGTCGCACTTTTTTGTCGCTAGCCGCGCTGGTAGTTTTATGACGGTAGAGAAAAGGTCGTGCTTTCTCATTTTTTATTTTGACAGCGCGCGTCCTCTATTGTGATTTATTTTCCCCAAAAGTTACTGTTCCGCCAGCAATCACAATTTTACATCTATGGTAAGATCCCATTTCGGGCCTTATCTCACGTAAGTTTCCCAGGGTAACCCTAATGATTACTTTGATTAGTCCAGAATATCGTATATTGAGTTCTGCGAACACATTACCTGTTTAGATACGACTGCAAAGCACGCATTATGCATAAAAATTCAGAGAACAGTAGAGCAATTTGGATTTTCAGATACTATAATTCCTATTCCACAATTTTTGGACTAACAGCATAATTCACAAGAACAAAAACTAACCAGTTTCAAATATTTCAAACAGCCAGGTTAGTAGGTGTTTTATAAATCAAATGATCTTTTGTGCGTTCATATTTTCTGATACAAATTTTATATTCTCTTTTCCCTTAGCCACTGTTATTCAAACAGGCTCCAATCCTGTTGGATTTCCTATTTATTTGAGGTTGATCCACGAAACCCCCCTATAAATGAAAGTCGGATTATGTTCTCTCTAAAACTTTAAACCACAGAACGGATGTAAGCCTTTGAGTTTAAAATCCTATCAAGAAACAAGTGCTGCTCCCCGAATAAGTTTGATTTTCACAAAAAACTGAAATTGGAGAATCTTTGTTGCCTTATTTTATTTGTTATAAGGGGAAAAAATAGAACTAAATGGAAATAGTTCTCCGAATGTTGGCATGGATTCCTTTTGAGGGACAGAGTTATCGGGCTAAAAGTGAGACCAAATGCCAACATAAAAAGGCAATCCGAAACGCCAACATTATAAATCCTTACATACAATTATAGCAACTTTGCAAAGTGAAAAGCGACCTACTTACCATATCCAGATTTGCGTTGCGCGGATCTTCTTTCTGAAAAGGGGATGCAAATATTAAATTCAGCAGACTTCGTTCTAGATGGGCTCTTCCATAGACCATAAAACTGTCGTCGTGTCTTTTTTAATGTAATGTGTGAAAACCCAAACTGCAAAATTGCAGATTAAAATAAATTGAATAATTCATTGAGTAGGACGTTGGTCACAGACTAACCTTTTAGGCACTTCTCACATGATGGATCTAAAAATCACAATATTAAAAAAACGCAAAGTATACAATGGTCTTCGGTTTATTAAGAATCATTTTCCTCTGAAGTCGAGGTGTATGTCCGTTTCCTAGATACCCATGAGCCCAGCACTATTGTCAGAGCAACCAACTTAATCTTGGGACTTTGCTTCGCGTGTTGATGGAGTTCTATGATACTTAAGGATTCTTCTGGGCCATAAAGGATAAATACAAAATCAAAAGTCAGTTTTGTTAAAATCACTACACATATTTTAATGCCGATGGAGTAATCTGCATGATGGTCATGCACTAATGGAAGGCCCGGCACCCATATTTATTTATTTCCCGTTTTAACTTTTTTACAAACAAGAGGTCAGCCCACAAATTCATTTATTAGCAAACATATAGTTATCTTCATGAAATTTCTCTCAGATAGGCAAAATGCCTCGAAGGTCGCTTCATGCGTGGCTTTCGCAGACACGTTTGACATTGCATTAATAACGCTGTCCACAATCAATGCACGTCGGGCCTATAAACAACAACAGAACGCGTCATTTAGACTACGGCATCTTTCAGTAAGCCAAGCCGCATTTGCATGATGAATCTCAGCCCAATAAGCGTTTCTTAGCCAAGCGCTCAGTCCCAAGATCTCCTTCGTTCAAGGGATGCAGTTTAGGCGATGCGCATTGCGAAAGCACAAGGCTGGCGAGAAGCTGATTATGCGTTTTGCTTCATTCTCGGATTCTCATCTAATGGCTGTTATTGATTTGGTTAACTTACCACGTCCTTTCTTTGATGAACCTCTTTTGCCTATAAAACCGAATGACGGTTTAATAGTAAAAATCGCTTTGATAAGGAATGAGTGTGATATTCCTACGGATATGCAAGACAGAAGTGGTTGAAATAGATACCTTTGGAGGACTTTTGAGCGAATTTTCGCTCGGGATCTCGTGAACGGGATCGAACTAAAATTTCAGAAGTATGATATAAAGAAAGCATATGTAGATGTTTAGGCCTGGGTAATTATCACTTTCCCTTTATTAATTCATAAAGGCAAACATGTCTTCAAGCTTCTAATCCCAGCCTATATATATCTCAGTTTAAATATTTTTAGGTATTTCGAAGAAGATGAGGACGCGATTTTTAGTTTGAAGAGGAGACCTATTTCCCAAAAGCCAAAAGGCGCCTATTTAGAAATTATGACAACGATATCGTGATTATGAGAGTAAATGAAGTCCCGGAGGATAGAAAAATAAACTAAAGATTAGGCCTTTTACTAGTTTTGACATGTTCCGTAGGTCCAGGCTATCAAAATAGTAAAATAAATCGCTCCTGCTCTTTATTTTTCATTGTCATAGACAGGTAAAATTTAAGGTATTCAGTTTCCCCACCAACAGCAACCGTGTAAATGAACGCGAAACGAAACTCACTTAGGGCTCCTTCTGGGTTAGAGATTGCTATTCAAAAATAACGGCAAAATAGGCGCAAATGTACCTCGAGTGCGTTTGCGCCAGTAACTCTCTACTGTCTCGCCGTCGTCCGAGTCAGAGTCGGATGAAGTTGATGAAGAACTGCTTGAGGAGGAGGAGGAGGATGAGGTTGAGGAGGAGGAGCACGAGTCCTCTTTGCATTCTGTAGGTATTAGTGAAGAAATTAGAGAGTTTTGCCCCGATGCAAAGATAGTAGTCATGTTTGATACTAGAATTAATCCGGAACTCACTGTTCTCGCCCTTAATACAGTCAGCACCAACGGCACCGCCGGCTCCAATGGTTGCTTTTGTGAAAATGAACGAAACACCGGGGAAGATATGAGAAGATGAATTGTTTTCTATTAATCTGTGTAACTTTCGCTTGTGCGCATATCAGAATGGAAGGGTCGTATGTACGAGTGAAACTTACGGTTGCCCTTCTTCTTCCAGAGGCGAGAAATAATTATCTTTTCCTCTCCGCAGTCCGGACCACATCCGCTCTTGCCTAAAATGTTTTAGCAAAGTGGGGTCACGCGTAAATTTTCAAACCCTCCGGACAAATGAGCTGGCCTCCGGGAAGAATCAGAATGACTTAGATAAAATTCCAATTTCTCTTAGACAATTTCCCAGAAATCAGCGATTCGGAGACAGTTTAAGGACATTTAACTCACCTTGGGGTTCGTGCTTCCAGTAGCGCTCGACCATAATCTTCTCCTCACCGTCGTCCGAGGATTCGCAGCACTCTTCTGCGCATTCCGGCTCCTCATCGCACGAATCGTCTAAAAGCGAAACATTCTTATACACAACCGTCTATCTTAACATAATCTACGTTTCTGGGTAGTGGGCAAAAAGGTCTCACCGCACTCAGGTTTGCCGCGGAACTTCAAAGGTTCATCTGGTGGACATTGCTTCTTCACTGCAAGCATACCAAAAATTCTTTTTTTAGGTAGATAACCCGAAAATTTCATACTTATTCATCTCTTGACCAGTGAAAGAAATTTTTCATTATAAATAAAATTTATTTACCTTTTTTAGTGTCCTTTTTGCTCTTCGGAGGACATCGGCACTTTTCTTCTACAAAAAATGATTACTGGCTTAGTGCTGTAATGTTTGGGTTATCTGACGCCTCAGACTTTTTCTAATAAACAAGTACAATTTAATGCTTTTCCTTAGATTCCCAGTATATGAATCAACAAATCGCACGTTATTTTAAGCAACTGTTTGGTAACTTGATATACTTAACCTCTGAAACAGATTCTTCGTTAGGTTTCAGAATCAGCACAGATGTGTCCTGTTAGGTAATTAATTTCAATGACTTATCAATAAAAGTCTTGGTGTATCAGCGAATTTTCATTTTGTATACTCAATAGATGGGTGTTCTGCGCATGCAGCTCTCGAAAACGCTTGCGCCAAAATTAAGCACATGAGGGGGGCTGCAGAAGTCAAGAATCGAATTTCCTACTTACCACGTCCTGTTGGATACTTCTGGGGCATACTGTCTGGACTTTGCGAATGGAACAGCTGACTGACAAAGGGACGTCTTATGGAAGAGAAAATTAGACCTTTAAAGTATTTCAACTAGCCAATCCTGGTGAGACTTTGAGCTAAGGGCTCCTACGGTCCTAAAAGTCGGGGACAGTCAGCAAAAATCAGTGTGGTAAAACGTTCTATGGCGACTCACACCCAATTAGCTGCAAGATCTCATTACAACAAAATGAAAGCGATGCCAGGAAGCATTCTGCCCATTAGTCAAGAGGTTTAATTGATTTTACGACCACCCATCGTAAACACGGATAGGTCACAAGTTGCTGTGATGAATGGGCTACGGAAATGACACTTCGTAACCAGTATCTTCGAAGCACAAATTCGTATGAGCAGAATTCGTATAGTGCAATCCAGTAACTTTGAGATGCTCTCTGTCCCAGTTTTTGGTCTGAACTGCACTTGGGGCTATTCCTAGCAGTGCCAGGACGAAATAAAACACACTACGCCGCCTACTTTCTGTCTTTGTTACTTGCGATGCGTAGATCGCGAACAATTTGCAAAACCAGCATTGTAATCTGTCTGTCAAGACTTGAAATTCTCTTTACGGTTGGTTTATGCGAAAATATCTTGGGGAGGAATTCTAAAATAGCAATGAGGACACTCCACACGTGAACGTTTAGGAAGTCCCCAAAACCAAAATTCAGTCCTTAGGCGGTTTAACTTTGGACTCAGTTTGATCAGTTGATGCATTTTTTATTTGATATCCAACCTTATAGTCGCATCTAACGCAAAGAGTCCTTACTATACTGAAAGCTATCAAAGGAACTCCATTCCGTAATCTTGACACAGCTGTACAAATATGCATAATAAAGCATGCTCTGATCTTATTTCGGGACCCTTTTGTTTGACATGTTTATCAACAGCACCCGATTCTCACCAGGACCTTATGTAGCATGCAAAAGCACTCCGAACACTTCGTTCAAACACTCGTCTACAATTACAACCTCACGAGAGCATGTTTGCAAAAGTGCCAGTCAGCCCGAAGAAGTTACACTTTGTGGAATAACCTAACAGGCTGCTTTGATTTTAAGGGCGAGAGATTCCAGTAGACCAAGTTTCCTGTGTTTTAAGGAATAGATCAATAATTGTTCCGATTTGCCTCTTTCAGTCGCATCTACGTTAAATAGGTTTACGTTCATGTTCTTTCGCATAAGTCTGGGAGGATTTTGGATTCTGCTGGTCATGCCCCTTGGTGTTTTCATTTCACATAGGAACAATGAAATTTCCGTTCTGAGGTACAGGCCATAATACGAATATTACCACCCTCGTTAATGATGACGGCGAAAACTGATTGTGTAGATTTACCCTGTCCATACGGCTGTAAATTTGGAATAATCAGTCATTATCGAGACCCGTAATATTTTAATGTGTAAATTAATATTACATTCTACGGAAAGATTCTTGATCGTGAACCCCAAGTGTTTACTGATCAAAAGTTTAGACAATATTTAGCAGCTCTAACTATTTTTGGTGCGAACTCGAGTGGCTTGGTTCAGCAGCTGGGACCTCATGGTAAGCGCTAAAGAGGAAAGCTTGAAGTGCGCAACTTGCTACTTTTCTTGCCCGTCTTTTTGCGTTCTCTGTCCCATAGCTGTCGGGACTGCATCCCTAATGGTGCCATTTCGACTGAAAATAATATGTTATCATTTTGCGAAGTCCTTATAAGTAATGTGTTATTTAACAGGGATCGTTTGTGGATTTTCAAATCCATGTGCCTGTCTTTCCTCCTTTCCCGATAATGATCGTTTGCAGATATACCAGCATAGGATGTCCTCTTCTGAACTTAATGATCAGCAAGAGTTTCTGGGGAAATAAAGTGAAAATGCAACATTTATTTTTGAAAAAAATCCTTCCTGGCCTATAAAAAGAAGGTGTCGATCTCGGGAGCCAAACACTAGGTTATTCTTTCGGGAGCCTAAAGGCTTCATTCTTTAGAAGTAAATAGTATATTATGAATTGTAAAAAACCCCATAGGTATATTCAGAAGAACGGGTGGCGAGCAAACGTTGCTTTCGTTAGACCAGTACAGTTATATGGGACGGGGTACAGTGAGTGAAAAAATCGATAATAGTTTTTAAAATACAGTCTAGGCAAGAGCAGAAGGGCGCAGAAAGTTATATGTGGTTAGTCAACCTTTGAGCGCTGTAAGCGCGGAGTCTGAGTGAGGTTATATTGGTCGTACGAGTCGGCGTATTTCCAAAAGAATACGAGAGCACCTCCCCACATGGCTGGCAAAAGGTGAAACTAGGAGTATAGACAACGCCATCCTTGCGCGTGCAGTGGGTTCAGGACATCGTGTGGACCCCGCTGAAGTATTTCGTGTGATTTATAAGATCCCCTCGATCTACCCCAAGCTACTGAGCCAGCGATTGTTAGAAACAGCAGAAGCGACCGCCATCACGTTAAGAAAACCGGCCCTATGCGCCCAGAAGAACCTCGCTCAGGCTCCGCGCTTACCTTGGTCAAAGGTGACTAACCACATACATCTTTTTGCGCCCTTCTGCTCCTGTCTAGACTGTATTTTAAAAATTATTATCGATTTTTTCAACCCCTTGACCCTGTCCCATGCAACTGTACTGACCTGAAGAGAAGTTATCGGAAGCAACGTTCGCTCGCCACCTTCACTTCTGAGTAATATTATGCTTCACAGCACATTAATTTGGTCGCCAAACGATCAAATTGTTGGTTCCGGAGTTAGGCATTCACCAACCCTGACGGTACTGGAAGCGACTCAAAGCTGGTTCGGCGTAAACCATCCTGCTAAGATGTCCTGACTTGGAAGGTTGCCCACCGTGGTCTACTTCCATAGTCCTCCGAACTGAGGATTGCGCTGCAAAGACTCCTTTTAAATGTGGACTCTTCATAACTCTTCTGTCTGGGATCCGATGTCCCCCTTAGTTAAAGTCCAGTTTGCATAAACTTGGGGACCGGTACGTATGAGTCACGCACAGACGGCTGTTTCCCTATGCTAGCCTAGGAATCCACTTCTAAATTTATACATTTCAATCCTGGCTTACAACTGGAAGGCAGAAGTCGTCACTTCGTCCTCGGGAACTCGGTGATTATCACAGCTCTCGAAAAACTGACTTCCGGTTGTCATGACAATGGATGTATACCGGATACCAACTGAGATGTCGGACCCGACGCCAACGCCGTACAGACGGGGAGGGAGACGGTCCTTATTGAGTGGTTCCCGCAGGGCAGATTAACGCTCGTGTTTGCATATAGTTTATTTGTTCTCGTCTTAACTCCACTTGTGCCCTGAAATAAGCCGACCGTGCCGGGCATTTTTTCCGTTTACAATTGGATCGTCACGACCGACGATGTCCACCGCATGCACTACATATGATGGAGCGGGCTGAGGACGGTGTTTGGCCTGAATTAGTGTGCAGTGATAACAGACTCACGCAGCATCTACGCACTTCCCTGCCCTAACCCGCCGAGTTCAGTGGCAAGTCAGAGTCAGCATTGCCAGGAGCGGGTTCGGGCGCAGTGGCTGACAAAGTTGAATTGCTCCCCTACGTTGAGTGAGACGCACACGCACAGTCTAATCTGACATATTTCAGAAACTAAGTTCCTCTGACTCGTTCCTAACATTTTACACTCAAAGCCCACAAAGACACCTGTAGTTAAAGTTGATAAGCTTCATTGCATAGTCGCTGATGTGTGGCGCCAAGTTTCCAACTCTTTTGCCTAGAGGTACTAACGTGACAGCATTTTACATCGTTGGGATTTTGGAGGACTCGGTGCCTTTGAGAGAGCGCGTTATGAATTACAGCTTATTTTCTACATGAGATAACACTTTCCCTGCTGGTCAGCGTCATTCCGGATATCTGACTGGACGATCAATAACACTGTTCTTCTACTTCGCTTATAGAGTACTGGGTGGTGACTGGCAAACTAGCAGTCTTCTTCTCTGCTTAAACTGTGGGTGCTCGAATTCGATTAATTTCTGTCTAATTGTCAATCTTAAAAACACAGCAAGGGCTAGCCTTAGGGCATGCTGGTAATATGTTACCCAACTGTAGTTAGCCAGTTGATAGCTGCACATCCTGTTAAAAAACCGCCAATCCTCAGTTATTTTAATCCGCAAGACACGGTCATCACTAGGTTGTACGCGTTGTCGGAAGGGAATGCAGCATAGACCTGCATGATACTAGATGCCGATGAGGAGTAACCGGTTGTATTTATAGTTATGGACAGGCGGGTAGGTTTTCATCGCATAAGAGTGACAGTATCTTCCCAGGGTGTTAAAAAGACATTCCAGTAAGATTTAAAATAAGGGGCGAACTCCTCTTTTCCGTCAAGTGATGTTTTCGATGATATTAATTTTCCATTTAGGCACAGCGAGATGAGATGTTTGATCCTTTATAAGGTGTTCTTTTTGCTTGCAAGGAAAGCACCAAAATATCTTTGCTGTTAGTCATTTTCCTAGTCAAAACATGCGCAAACTTTCCCTTTCTCACCGGAAAATGCATGTTGGAGAGCTCTTAAGATTTGAGACAGAAAACGGTACCGATGGAACTATTGGGTGGCATATGTTAACGCGCACCTTTTAGACACTAAGTTGGGGGTGTTACTAATCGATAAAACTTCTTTCGTCTGTTCTTATTGCTAACCTCTGTCTCTGAATGTACTCGGGTTAAAGTGACGTACTCTGTTGTTAGACTTACACAGGATCTTTTAACCGCCTTCTTCTGACGTGGTTTGCGTTACTGAATTTAGTGAATTTTCATTTGGACCCTCACCTATATCTAATGACTCAGGTTATAACAGTCGAATGTTAGGCACATAGGCACTGTGTGGCCAATTAGTAAAGTTTACAGCCCATAATATTTCGGTTGCCTTCGGTGATTTCTGGACTGACTTCATAGCCTTTTGTGCACGCGAAGCGAATGACTTCCCGGAATTTTCGTTGATATTTAGGTGAGATATGGTTATGTAGCCCC